ACGGCGTTGTGTTTGGGACGTCATAAAGCATTCTCGCTAACGTTCTCATTAAGCCTCGTGACCTACGCAAAATAGATTCGCGAGTACCTAACCTTGTTCCAACTATTCTCATCCGTAAGGAGGCCATCCTTGTAAGTCCCACTCGGCCCTCGTGATATTGCCGGGCACTGAGCAGTACCAGATAAATATACTACACATCCGAGCGCTAGTAAAGGCCGATACGGTCGTGCTATTCGATACATATGGATCGAACGATTCCAGGCTTCACTCTGTCTTCTTATACCACCTTGAGGTAAGGAAGGAGAACAGGGTTAGTCCTGAAAGTCACCTGACCTCTTGGCAGCACAATCTCAAGGCCCGAGGCAGCGGTGCATCTCCTTACGAATTTAGGTGGGTTTATGGCGCCTGCTTATTTTCAATATTCCGTTGACCGTATCGCTAATGGCATTAGAGCAATCGAATCCATACTTCTTTCCGTTCTTAGCGCACTCGAGGCGGAGATGGTCTTTATCCGTAATCTCGTCGGTGGACTTCTTGCTGAGCTCGAAGATGACATCAACCATGATAAGTTCAAGCGGCTTCTTCATTACTCTAGACGCCTCGCTAGTTTCAAAAATCGCGCTACACTGGTACGAGCACATTGAAAGTCTCATTCTCTGGATCCATAACCTCTCCTCATAGGTACAGGAGGCACTTGAAGAGGTCCTTGAACAGGGTTTGCCTTGTTACTTGCTTCACCGGTCACCTCCTAACAGTTCCTTGCAGATGAAGACCTGAACGCAATGTACCTCACGGATAAGAAGAAAGGAGTTTTTCGGGATATGCACGAGCACGACGAACTAGAAAACCTGCTAGAATTTTTCGCCAAACAAGTCGAGGAAATAGTGAATGAAGCGGAAAACATAGAAGTACGTTTTCGCGTCGACAATGCTAATGAAAGATACATTCTGTTGAATCAACGCCATTTAGACCAACGTACAATCAACCCAGGAGATAGTCGAGCTCATATTGGACTCAAATCGCAATGCACTACTAGCTTTGGACCTTAAAGTTTGAGCTTTCTTTCCAGAAACAAAGCACCTTAACCCACAGGTTAATTAGGTCTCTATTGGAACCATGGGTCTTGGAACGGGCGCCCTCGTCGCTGGATTGTTCGGGATGAACGTATGTGCCCCTCACGATACCCTTTCCGTTCTTAGTCAGCTCAACCCGAATTTCCAAAGTTGCAAAGCCACATGGAAGATATGCCTTACGCCTTCCTTGCAATGTCGATCGGTTCGACCGCTATCGCGGGCCTCGTAGCTTGGGCAGGCCTGTGGAGGTGACGTATCCCCTTTTCTCTTGACCCATACGGTCCGCGATCTCCGCCAGTCACTGACTTGCGTCATTTGATTCAAAACCCAAAATCCTGACAGACTAGCGAAGATACGGAAAGTCGGGCTAACGAACTCTCACAGCAGTAAACGTGGTGTGTCTGAACTTAAGCCTCGCGGTCCTTGGATACCACTGCCATTACGCCGGCGAAGTTCCGACGGATGGTTATGATAGCGCTGCCAGAGTACCACCTCGTATCACGGAAAACAAGTGTCCCAATCCGATCCCGCGACGTCCTCGTTCCCCCTTATCTCTGCCTCACGTTCAAACCTTGAACTCTAGTGTATAGACTGTATCAACACACTAGGCAAGGCAATGCATCATGGGATCTTCCCGCAATTGTAGGATCAATCCTCTTCGTGCAATTCACCCGCGTCATCTATCTTTATCTTCATCATCCTCCCATCTCCGCGCACATAGATATAGATATATATATACACTTGCCTTTTTATTTCCAGATCCTTTTCTGTGTTCTTTGGTGGTCGAAGGCTTCGGATAGGCAGCTGAACCTTGGGCTGATTTCACCTGTTTGCTTGCTTGAAGATCCTGAAGAACCTCCCGGGCGCCCACTCCGTTGCTCCGCGTGCCCGTGCGGTTCCTCTATAGAAAAGATGCCAATCATCGCTCTTCCACCATCATCGTTCCCAACTTCCCCAGATCTTTTTATCTGAGCGTGCCAGTTACGTATACGTCGCCCTCTGACGCCTCGCAACTTTTAAAAGTAGTGTACGACGGGCGAGTCGGATTGGATGGCGAAACCCTCGCGCGCGTTCATCTGATCCAGTGTGGCACTGGATGACAAGCCAGTTCCCGTGCACATGGCGCGAAGGGAGATCGGGATTTATTCCACATGCATATAAGTTCGAAAGGTAAAGCTTGTCCATGGATATGAGCGGCAAGATTAGGAGAACTCGTTACAACAAGGCAGCTAGCTCATTAAGATTCGTAGGTATTCATGTCCCAGGTGAAATTGAAAGAGATAACGCAGTAGCCATCGAAGCCGTCTCGGAAGATCTGGAAGGTCTATGGAAGCAGTAAGGAGAGATAACGACGAAATGAGATACACCGAGTATACAGTTTACAGTACCAGGGCGTGCACACGACCGGTATACGCCCTGATGCATTAAGTCCCAACTCAGGCAGGACCACCCACAACCGCCACCTTTCACGAGATGAGACAAGATGGGGTATTGATAAGGAGGGGTATGGATCCATGCGTCAGATAAGCTTGACTGTGCTTTCCTGGTCGTGGGCTCCGAGGAGGTGTGATTTCTGGATCTACAACGCGTCATCATGTCATTGTTAGCCTACAAACTACTTCCCATCCCGTCCGTCCCAAGTAGGCAAGTCAATGTCCCAATATCAAAAAGAGACCCTAAGACCGCAGGCACAGCCTACTCAGTCTCTCGGGGGAGGCGGCATATCAGGAATCAGATAGTGCACGGGACGGCCGCTCCCAAAGCTAGACTTGTGCGCCAGTTCTGGCTGACCGTGCGTCTCCGTCCCCGTTCCGGTACCGTGGGAATGCGAAGACTCAGCAGCAAATGTCGACACTGTGTCTTGTGCTGTGCTCGCCGAGTCTTCGCGTAGCTCAGAGGGGTCATATTGTGGAACAGGTTTTCGCGGTGTGCGGCGCGTGACTGAGCCCGCGCCCGCTGAGGCGGAGCGGTTGACCGGGGATGGTGTGATGGGGGAAAGGGGGTACTCTTCTCTTGATCGTGCTGGAGAAGTGGGTGTACGGGGAAGTGAGGTAGCAGGTAAAATGGGCATCGAGAGGCGTTCGGTGCGGAGGTACATGGAGCTTTCCATGGATGACCTGATTCGGTGGGCCTGTTGCTCGAGGCTGTGATTTGACGTGCGGACGGAGGTCGTGCGTGATCGCGAACTTTCAGCGATGGCGGCTGGACCTTGGAGGGAGTATATTGATGCGCGGCGACCGGACTGAAAGGGTGAATCTAGGATCTCGAATGGGTTCATTCCAGGAGGTGATCTCGGAGAGACGACTTTGTCTTCGCCCATCGTTGTCACATCTGCGTCAGAACCACCAGGGGTAGTGGTTGCAGAAGCTTTTCCACCTGCAACACCTTGTAACATCCCACCTGTGGATGCCGAGTATCCATCATAATGGTCGTTTGCGAGATCGCGAGTACTACCTCCCGGTTTGATGCTACTGTTTGAGGTGAGAGACCCCCATCTGCCCGATCTGCGTTTCATACTACCGCCCCTAGCCGATGATCTTCTTCGTCTCCGTAAGTATAGCAATCCGGCCAGCACAACCAACGCTACACCAGCTATAGCACCGAGAACGCCCCCCACGATAGCCCCAGTATTATTTTTCGATGAAGCTGACGATGGCGACGTGCTTGGATTACCGGATGGCGCTGGTGCCGTTGAGTGTGGCGATGTACCAGTCAGACAAGATACATCCGATCCATTGGTAATGTAGAAGGTTAACGATGAGGAACTGAAAGCAAAACTAGGCATATAAGCCTGAATGTAATACTGGCCCTCCGTTAGGTTGACAGATTGCCAAGTATACGAGCCCAATTGCGCGTTCGTTTCTGTGAGCAGTTGACTGATCGGCAGCCCACCGGTGTTTTGCCTACGGCCGATGTAACGTGCGGTGGTGGCCACTTGATCAGTGACTGATAGGGTGAGCTCAGCCTGCTGTCCGCTGTAATTCCAAGTGATCAGGCCTGTAGTGCATGTCGTCATATTCTGCACTTGATTAAAGCTGAAGCTCGGAGAAGATGAGGGTGAGGCAGGGCTTCCAGAAGACGAAGGTGAGGCTGGGTTGCCCGGTGACGACGGTAAAGGTGAGTTGGTTGAAGACGAAGGACTCGATGGCTCACTGGATGTTGGGGGCATACTGGAAGGTGTCGACGAGGGCGTTTGAGGTGGGAGAGAAACTGGACCGGGTGCCACAGTAGGTGGTGAAATGCTGACTGGACCACCTTGCCGCGCCTCGTGGTTATGAGCAGGACCTGCTGTTGCTGAGGCGGATGTGGCGAGCTGCAAGCAACTACAGACAAAAAAAAGTCGCAGAGCGACCTGCTGCAGCGGCATGTCGTCCCCTGAGGAAGCATCATGGGTTTCATGAATCAAAACAACGTTCTGACAAACCGATCAGGCAACTCACCTTGTAGGCTTGTTCTTGGTGAGATACGTAAACGATTCTAACACTCCACAGCGCCTAACAAAGCTACGCTCCTGGTCACTAACAACAACCTCGACGACGGGAGGCGCTGGAACGATGCGGCTATGAGAGAAACTCAGCCAGCTGGCTTGCTCCCACTGATAATACAGCCACTCGGCCTTCATTTGGTCTGCATAGCAACAATTGCTTGCGCCGCATGTAAACATGATGCAATGCACATCCCACGTGCACCTGGAAAGCTCTGCCTGGACCAGCGGTCTGTGCAGGCCATACACAGGTCTCCTGAGTCGGTATTGTGGCTGTAGGGTTCAACAGGCGTTACAGGGTCCTACTATCATTGCCACTTGCTCAGCCGTACACAAGCTGACCAGCTGGTGTGCCAGGTCTTCGTTGGTGGACGGTTAAAGCAGCTGGAATTTTCAAACCTCATACTGAGGTCTTAATGGCGCTGGAGAGCTCAACTATCGCGGGTTCAATGGTCTAGTGGTTATGATTTCTGTCTTACACACAGAAGGTCCCCAGTTCGATCCTGGGTTGAGCCATCTCTTTTTTGCTCACTCCCCATCGTTGTCTGGGTCATAGTATGTTGACCAAAAGTTCTGTTGGCCGCTGCCGGAGGCCATTGATTTTATGCTAGGCCTATACTTACCCTCGGAGTTGTATTGGGGGCACTCCGCACGGCTTTGTCGGGATCACTCGAATGCTCGGCATCGCACTTCAGAAAACTCTCAGTGATGGCACGAATGGCACAAGCCCATGGGTGGTGCCCAATTGTAAACCTAGCATTACATTACCATCCCCCACAAGCTACAAAAGAATCTACGCACAAACCACGCAGGCCGCCAGTTAGAAAACAAAAACTTGCCGCGGTGCCGTGCCAACCCAATCCTCCATCAATTTCATCCCAAACTCCCCTCCAAACGCGAAGTTCTATTCGCACTGTGACAATCTCAGGGTTAACTTTTCTCAGCCACAGAAACCGTGACGCCTCAGAAAGAAGTCTCCCAAAGAAAGCTCTGCTCACGAGTCTGTCACGAAGCTATCTCAGATGACCTGACAAGGAACGATAGCGCAACGTGAAATGAGTTTCCTCCCCCTCGGTTCCCCCTCTCTCACGGAATAAGTGGTGCGAACTGTCCATATGGCCATATCTGTCCAAGCTACGGGCTAGTCATCGTACTCGATACGGATATCCAAGCATGCTGCATGCGCTTTTGGTGGCGTCAGAAAGCGTCCCTCGAAGTAGAGTTCGAGCTCCGGTCGACGTGCACAGGCTCAAGAGCTGTGGATGCCTTGTTGCGAATTCCAATCTCGTCCGGTAACTCATAATTCGTGAGGGATGGATCCTGAGGGGATAGATAAACGCCCGAGATCATTTGTACAGATGAAAAGTGCTGCGTTTCAGAATTTGAAATTTGAGGGGAAGCTATCCTTGATCGAATATGGGCCTGTGGTCGCGTCATCCATCTTTGAGAAGGTACGAAGGCGAGAAGGAGGCCATGGGAAGAGGACGCGTTTGGATCAGGGTCTACGCCTCATTTAGATAAGTACATGAGAGTGGACGAAGTCCTAGAAGCTGGCAGACCGGATGGAACGGGTTCAGATCATCGGCATGCCTTGGGAGAGAAGAAGGGGTAACATCTTTACCTGTCTTTGCCTGCCTTCGCGGACGGAGGCTGTTCGCCACGGGCGTACCTGCTGCAGAGGGGGCGCGGGACGGACCTAAGATAACAACCTCCCTCATTTGGATTATAATTCCTCGAAGTCTTATCGCGGGATAGTTGGAGGAAGACGATATCATTATCTATAATCAGGAAGGTGGTCATCGGCCGTCTACCACTGGCAAACCTGTTATTAAAGTATGACATGCATGATTGCACGTTCAGGGTCAAGCGATGATCGCCCATAATTCCAAGCTTCCGTCATCGCCGTTGCCTTCATGTTGCCCTGTTGCCGATTGCGATTGGGGTGAGAACATGACGATCCGACTTCGGAATAATACAGGGGTGATTAACCACAGCATGTTCGATATCGTCAAAATTGTGCCATTTGCATGTGGAGTGACTGCTCATGCCTGCGAAAACAGGAAACTATGCGCGCCAGAATCAAGTGCATTTCAAAATGTCCGAGTTAGCCTGCTTAGGAAGGACGGTACCTTGGGCCTTGATCATGCCGTTTGTTGCCTTATGACTTTGACTGCAATCTTTCAGCCGGAAGGATGGGAACCATTCCGGTTAGACAATTGCGTGCCGTGGGGAGCCAACTGATGTATGTAGACCAATAGGGTCAAAGGCGTGTCCATAGCAGGATGTTGATATCGATCCATCTCAGTACCTATGAGCCGCATCAACATCAGAGGAATTTCCAACTGGTTGAGTTTACTTGAAAGGCGCACATCAGCTAGGCTCACCTCATGGCATATTGCGCTCAAATCTTCAACGAGCAAACCTACGCATATCGGCTGATTGGATGTCGCCGTCATCGTAGCGTGCCCGAGTCGTTGCTGGCACATTGTTGCGTGATGATCGCTGGTAAGGCAAGGCTAGACCTAAGGTATGCATGTCAATGTTCACGTTGCGCCCCTTGGAATGGAGAGACATCTTGCCTAAGAAACTTCTCGATGCCAATCTGTGGCATCATGAGTCATGTTCCATCTACGCGTATTTCACTTGCCCCCTCGCAAATAACTCATTGCGGGAAGCAGCAGATCTGCCAGGTTCTGGGACTGAAAATTCCCCTCAGCTGACTTCCCGGAGCTTAGAGAACGAAAGCGACTTCTACCACGATGGGCATATTGCTGGGTGTTAACCTGCAGGACGTTAAGTTCTTACTGGCACCGTGTTCCGCGTACGTCGCTATGTTGCTTTATATCGCGTATCTTCGATATAAATCTGAGTGCCTTTGCTGCGCGATGATGAAATCGGCATCTTTGTTCCAATGACCAAATCGTTTCGGACGTCGCGTCGCAAACTTTGATCTACATGAACCATTGATTGGAACCTGCTGAAGATTCTAGCATCCTGTTGCGCCTTCGTAAATAAGGACTGGCAGATGTACCTCGTCACCAGCACGTTGCTTCAGTGTGAACATTGGCGATCAGCTGGAGGTTTGGGCACGAGGTAGCTGGAATTTGTAAAGAAGTCGGACACAGCACGACGAACAGTCATTGGGGGCTGCACAAGGGGCGTCCTAAGACTCGGAGCTTTGCATAAGTGTCCATAGCCTGGGATGGATGGAGTCTGACAGGACTGTTACCATTGCAGAACTACCCGCTAGGTCACCACCGATAAAGCTCAGGTTCAGTGGGTCGGGTACCCATCATGTTCGAGGTCAGCTCAATTTCTCGGGATGATATTGGATGTCTTCGCGTTTGGTGCGATGGAGGTCAAGGGAAGTAACAAGCGCCCAAAAGACACTGTCAATCATCGGCGGATTCATCGCATCGCGGGGGCGAAGTCAGGAAGTCACCACCTAGCACCACTGTAGAAAGCAATCAGGACAATGCATTGAGGATACTCACAGTTTTGGTGTCTTCTGAGCATGATATTCTCTGTCCAGGCGTTCCATCCACCATTCACGCATATTACGCATATAAGAGCCTGTAGATAGTTCGACGTTATCACGGTGGATGAGTTGTGCGAGAGACAGGTGGATCCGATAATGAGCAAGTTGCGGGACAATTGCGAGTCCCAGCCCACCGATTCCGGTCGCCATCACATTTGGGCTGAGATTAATCTTTCAAGATGTTGCTGTATTTTTCGCCTTGTTCAGTGTGAGGCAGAAACAAGCGCCTATGCAACTGCCTCCGATCTACCACCAACCAGCGAAACGGTGACCATTGCAGTGGCACCTGCTATTTCATGAGTCTTACATCCCCCGACGCACTCCTCTTTACTGGACTAGCAATTGCAGCAACATGGCTCTACGTGTCCCGAAGTCGCCAACAAGCAAGCCTATGTAGCCGCCTATTAACAGCCGCTGTCATCCTGCACACCCTCTACGTCCTTTGTCGGCTCGTTCTATACCGCCCACCAAACCTCTTCTCGCGATTAGGAATACCTATCAATGCGCCTGTCGAGCGAATAAAGTCGCAATTGCTGATAGAGGCTGGGTTTGATACGACATCGCAAAGCTCACTTGGCGCAGTTGTGGTTCCTCTAGAAATACCAAAGGACGTTGAGCTGCTACTTACTAGACTCAACATTATTGACAGCAGAAACTTGTTCGTGAGGTGTGTGGGCTGTGTATATGTGAACTTTTATAGGTGATGGTTAAAACGCATGTAGATTTGGCCAACGCGCCATGCAGACGTGTCAATACTGCTCCTCGGCGGGGGACTATGCACTCTTCACGCTGTCCGGCGTCATGCTCGAATACCTGCGTAGTGCTACGCTTTTACTTATGCTTACCATCGTGATAAATGGTCGAGAGCGACTGAGGACGAACATCCTCGGTGCGCTCACGTGTGCGCTCCTCGCAGAAGGCTACGCTTTCACTTCTGCAAGTGCCGTGCCACTCGCCAAAGATGCCCAGACCGCATTCATGGTAAGTAACTTTACATCGTTTCCCGTGTCATAAGTTAAACGCCTGCGCAGTGGCATGACAATCTCTTCCTCGCACGTCACGTGCTCTTTCTCGTCCTTCCTGTCCTTACACAAACCCTCCCCGCGATTTACGCACCAGGTCCGCCCTCTATGGCGCTTGCACCAGCACTGGCAATCCTCGAGCGCACCATAGCCCGTGCGCATCTCCTCAAATACACGCGTCAAGCTATCATGCGACGTCCCGAGACCCGGGAGCTTGCGGGGCAGTATTGGGCAAAGGAGGCTGCAGAAGGAGAAGCTGGGAGAGGTGATCCGGCCGTACAGAAGACTGCGGAAAAGCTTGGGTTTGGATTCACGAAGAACGAGGAAACGGGGACAGAAGGCAAGCTGGGGGAAAGTGTGAAGATGGCTGTGGAGTCGCTGAGGCCGTTATTTGCGCCACCACCGAGCTAACGATTCTCGTCGTACTGTCTGCGGTTGACGATAAATTCATTTTATTGCCACGTCGACCACTTGCCAACTGGAGAAAGTTGCTTCATTCGAAGCTTGGAGCCCGTACGATGAATCCTCAGCAATTCTTGTACCCCGGAAGAACGATGACCCCTCAGCTAAGATAGCTGTGCGCCAGAAGCTGTGGACTAGTGTGATCACCAAATATACTATCTAACGTTGATGGCCCTTTTCTATACACGGGCACTCGGCGCTGCTGTAGGACATCCAGTACAAGTCTTATCTGTCGTTGTCTCGACAAGTAAGGACAGGGGATTTCGCTAGCGCAGCCGAACAAAAGAAAAGCGCCCATAAATCTAGGCGTAATACGGTATTCTTCCGCGCACGTGCTTGGGACACCCACCTTGCACCACGACCTTGTGGGAGCCTCGAGTGGTACCTCCAAGACTAACACAAAGACCATCTACCTTTTCTTTTCTTTCTGCTACTTTTACTACCAAATACTCCATCTAATACTCTCTTTAACGAATACACACCAGCACGAGCAT